TACATCAAGAATTTTGGAGATGATGATTATTGTGAAAGTGAAGATATTTTGGAATTGGTGAGGCAAGAACAATAGTCAATTCACTTGATAACATTAAGCAATCACAGGACATCGAGCAGGCTATGGGTGGGGATATAATTGAAGGAGGTGTTCAGCTTGTTTTTGAATACCTCGAGGAATGGAGGAAACAAGACATTGCATTACAATATTCGCAGAAACAAGCAAAGCTGTTAGAGATGAAAAGAAAAGCTGATGACAAGCGTGTGTTAGCAGATGTCACAAACGTCAAACAAATTCCGACTGGTCCTGCAGCAGCAACCAAGAAAAAGAGAAGGTCTTCAGCTCAGGTCAAAGCCGATAAAGAAGCTGCCATCCTTAAAGCTGATTTCAATCGGCGGTGTTTGAAATGGATGAAAGAGGATAATGTTCCAGCTGATAAACTTGATGAAAGAGAGGAGGCTTACCAAAACGAGTGAGTTGTACTCTTTGCTGAACCAGTCCACAAAATCTTCATCAATAGTTCCAAATCCATGTCGCAGATCAGATTCATTAATTTCTTCGCTTTCAACCGGTTGATTTTCATCTTGTTCTGGACTGTAGTTTGAAGCAACAGGCCAGTGGAAACGCTCAAGTTGATTTTTGCGATACTCGGCTTTAAGCTTCTCAACCCCAAGGCAATGGATATCTCCCAGAGGTTTCCCAGGTATGGTTGAGTTTGGACTAGATTGGTGGATCCTTTCGCTTCGGGCCATCTTTAGAAATCGAATCATGGAAGCTGGTGTGATTTATTTTGACGGGATTGTCGCACATTGTTCAGACCTGCTCTACCCTTCATTGTATTAACCAAATGTGAAAGCTGCATCCAATTGATTTCAGCTATGAATGGTGATGACACCATGATTAAGCCCGATGAGTAACATACCAGACCCACTGTAAGAGAGTATGTCTCTTTTAATCTGTGAATGTCTGTTCCGGGTCCCTAATTCAGAACAAAGCGATGAGTAGTCAGTGTGCAAAAGAAATAGATGTGATAAAACTTACGGCGTGATTATAGAAGTATTTCAGCCAGTAGTTTTTTATCTCAAGATGGAAATCTTTAGCAACAAAGTGGCCATGTCGACCAGTCGGCGATATTAAGAGCGAGTGGAGGATAACATGGGAAAGATTCTTGGGAAGGACTTTGGTAAGCAGCCAAATCAGTCGAGGGAGATATCGAGAGTAATGAGTCAAGCCGTTGATTCCTTGGATTTTCACACTCCAAGACTTCCACATCAGGAGAAGTCGACCAATATCACCATCCGACATTGCACGATTGGCTTCAACCACGGTGGCGAAATCCCGAAGTCGTAGTACCAGCTGGAGTTTCTTGCTATCTCCATTTTGGCGCGCCAGACGTGTGGCTCGTCCCGAAAAGTAAGCTAAATATACTTTATCAACGGCTTCCTCAAAGAGCTCAACAGTCATATCAACGAGATTGTGAACTGTATCAACAGGCAGATCTAGTTCATCACTTGAACGATGTACATCATAACCTTGTCAGTAAACATATTTATTTGGTGGTAAGAAGCCTTGGGTGAACTCACAATATGCAGCTTGCAATGGTGGCCTCATGTATCTGTTCAATCCATCTGATCATCGAAGTGAAATCTTTCTTAGCAGTTGGTTTGAGTTTACTTCCGCCGAGCTCGACTGCAGTTCGCCACGCTCCTAGATCGTTCTTGTTGTCCGGATTGCCCCAGTGATGTAGTAAAATGGCTTGTCCAATGTTCCACAAAGTGTGGCCCGCACCAGGAATCATTATCAGATGTGATAGACTTTCTTCGGCGAATTTTGCAGGAGTTCTTTGGCTTTGTAATCCGTGAAAATTAAGACAGGTCCCAAGATCCCCTTCCAAGATTTGCAGTCGACTCGAAAAATCCTCAGGGGAGAGGCCGGTCTGTTTACTGATCTCGTCATAAAGGGAAGCAATGCCTTCAGAACCGTTGTCTGATGAATCCATCAGTTTGAGCATGTCGATATCAGGTAATTTCGGGCTTGATCTGGTCAATGGCGCTAAGGTTCACTATTGACCGTTTCTTGAACTTCTTGGGA